AANATTAGAGATGTGCATACAAATGAAATTGAATTGTTTCAGATTTATATATTAGTTTTCATTGTTGCTAAGCATAATCAAGAATTTTAGGAGATGTTGTGTACTGTGTAGTATTTTTGAGCAGAATCGACCATTTTTATACGTTAATAGTCGAGACTTTACTTGTGTTAATAGTGAAAATCTAAAGGAGCCTAGAGGAACCTCAAGACGTATACAAAAGTGGTTTAAATTTTAGTGATTTATTAATTGACCTAAAAGACATCTTTTGACAACACAGGCATTTGAAATTTCGAAAAAAAAATTTTTCACTCCACCCTATTGTGGATGGTGGCATTTTTCAATTTCTAATTATCGCCACTGCTGTTGTTACTATTATTATTATTATCATTATTATTATTATTGTTATTATTGTTGTTGTTATTGTTATTATTGTTGTTGTTATTGTTATTATTATCATCATGGTTAAGGTTAGATATTGGTAATAATAACTAAATATTATCTCCGTCTCTATTTTCGTCGTCGTCGTCGTCATCTTTACCACGGTCACCTTCATCATTACCGCTATGATGACTAATAGATCATCATTAACATCATCGTGATCATCATTAACATCAACATCATCATCATTAACATCATCATCATTAACATCATCGTCATCATCATCAACATCTTCGTCATTGCCATGGTCGTCATTACCGTCATGACCAGTTGACCATCATCATCAGCACCATCATCAGCACCATCATCATCATCAGCACCATCATCATCATCAGCCCCATCATCATCATCATCATCTTCATCAGGCAGTGCTGAACGATGCGGGCATTGTTAAAGGGGCCATCAACGTGGACAGTAAGCATGAGGTGAGGCCTGCCCTCTGATGATAATGATGATGATGATGTAATGATGATGATGGTGATGGTGGTGTAATGACAATGATGATGATGGTGGTAATGTAATGATGATGATGGTAGTGTTGGTGGTGTAATGATTATGATGGTGACGGTGGTAATGTAATGATGATGATGATGGTGGTGGTAGTGGTAACGTGATGATGATGATAATGATGATGATGGTGGTGGTAATGTAATGATGATGTTGATGATGATGTTGATGATGATGATGATATTTTAATAATGATAAGGTGATAAGGATAACGACGATTATTATCATGACAAAATGTGTTATGTCTGATGACGATGATGATGATGACGACGACGATGATGATAATGATGAAACTGATAATGAAACTAAAATATAAATAATACATACACGTTTAAATTTATGTTCATTCATTCATTTATCACCATATTTTGTATGTAGATGATAGCTTCCTTATTGCTTTTCACTCTCTCACTCACTCACTTTCTCACTCACTCACTCTCTCACTCACTCTCACTCATTCTCACTCACTTTTTCACCTATTTACTTCAGCTATAGTTAGGTTTTATTTCACTGGATGTATGATGATGATGATTATTATTTATTATTATTATTATTATCATCTACATCATTATTATTGAATAATACTAGTTCAGTAATGACTTGCTTGCTTATCTAACATTCATTATTTCTATCCCATGCTTATGGCTGTCACTTTTCACAGTTCTTTTTGTTGTTCTTTTTACTACTTGAAACATTATATCTATTATTATTATTATTATTATTGTTATTATTATTATTGTTGTTGTTATTGTTGTTATTATTATTGTTATTATTATTATTATAGTTGTAAGAAACGCCTTCATGTCATCATCATATACTGCTGTGTGTTATCATCATCATCATCTAGATCAATATCACATTTGGCATCATCTGTATCAATCACAGACTGTCATCGTCATCATCATCATTACCGTTATCATTATAACACATCATACATCATCATCATTAAATATCACCATCATCAACAATTATCATCGTCATCATGGTGCTTACTGTTTAATCATCATCATCAATGTCAGATATCATTATCGTTAATATCGCTTATCGTCATCATCATCATGGTCATCATCATCATCAACATCATCATGGTCATCATCATCATCAACATCATCATGGTCATCATCATCAACATCTTCATCGTCATCTTCATCATCATCACCGT